CCTCTCTCTCTCTCTCTCTCTCTCTCTCTCTCTCTCTCCAACCCTCCCCAACAACATCATCTCATGCCACCTTATACCATCTAATGTACTAACGTACTAATGTACTAATGTACTAACGTACTTATGTACTAATGTACAAATGTACAAATGTACAAATGTACTAATGTACTAATGTACTAACATACTAATGTACTAACGTACTAATGTACTAACGTACTCATGTGCTAATGTACTAATGTACTAACGTACTCATGTGCTAATGTACTAATGTACTAACGTACTAATGTACTAATGTACTAATGTACTAACGTACTAATGTACTAATGTGCTAATGTACTAATGTACTAATGTGCTAACTTACAGGCTCAAACAAGTTTCCCCAAACATACGGGCGACCACCGCGGGCAGTCCGTAAACAAGGCGGGAAGAAAAAGTTCGTGTTTTAAAAAAAAAATTAAAAAATTGGGAAGCACACACACACACACACACACACACACACACACACACACACACACACACACACACACACACACACACACACATGTATATCTATCTTTCTCTCGTACACACCCAAATACTCTTTTTCTATCCGCCTCTCTTTTCTAATCATTAAACTCTCTTTCAGAAAATTGTGTAACCAGCTCTGTCTTCTTCTTTCTTTCCATCTCTTTCACTTCACGTCTCTGTGTCCCGTTGCTATGGTCAAGCTCACCCCCCTATCTTATTTCTATCTTTACTCCCGATTCTATCTATCTATCTATTTATCCCCCCCTCTCTCTCTCGCTTTCTGTGTGTGTCCTTCGCCCTTATCAGTGGCGGCTCAGAACTACAGACAGTAACAAGGGGCCGAAAGGACATTTAGAAATAAAAGTCACACACAGAAGAAAGACTAAAATGACATTCTAGATCTAGTGCGTGATCAGAACTCATTAACACGTATGTAAATACTCCCCCCCCCCCCTCCCTGAAAAAAGCACCAGTAACCCAAACGTAAAACAAAACAACGAATTATTATCAATAAATAAATACGCATCAACCAACTATCAAACTGTCAGTTCTTAATACGTATTTTGTAGAGATGTATAGATCTAGTATTAGTATTAGTATTAGTAAGAGTTTTACGGCACTTGCAACACAATAAGGTCATAAGTATAAGTGCCGAAGATTAGAAGTGTCACAAGAGAATAACAAACATAAAACAACATTAGGAGGAATCAGTACGATAGATGTTTGATAGGAAAGAAGAAGCAAACCACACCATAGCACCCACCAATCACCCTTTGTTGAGATGTGAATGACACTTTCACCCCTCAGTCTGTTAACTTTTTTTTCGGTTAGACCAGTGCTTGTCAAACTGGGCGACATATATATCTAGATCTAGCCCACAATAAGTGGGTCATTTGGGGTGAATTCGGCATTATTTTATGCCATGCTTGGAAATACTTGTCGGTGGGAGAATTTTAGTCTCTTAAAGGTGGCAAAAGTTAACAAACACATAAGCAAGAACAGAGCCATTGAGCAAGACTGTCAGTCGTGCTTCTAAAACAGCAACACGCTAGACCAAGATCCTTTGCAATTGAGACTTCTGGGTAAAAATTGAACGACGCGGGCCGGACACGCCATTTCTGATAGACGCCATCTTGTCGTGTGCGGACATTTTGCTTGTTCTCTCTGACATTTTGGTGTTTGACGGCTAGTTGCGCTGTGACAGTCGATAGAAAGTTTACACAAGTGTTGCTTTGAGGTACAGTTCACACCAGTGTTGCTTTGCTGTTTTTTCCTGTCGTTTACAAGCTTCAGTCGAGTCAAGAGTCCGGAGTCTTCGCTGACCGAGGTTCTACTACTCTGGTAAGTCAAATTTCTACAGTTTGTCTCTAGATTTTGTCTGAGGTGGGGTTTTCTTACGAGTTCCTGTTACATGTATCTTTCTTCCTATGAGTGCAACTCTGATATTTAATATATCAATAGTTAGGCTATTTTCTGTCAATTTTCTATTGCTTTATTCCACTGTGAACACAGTTCTCTGTTACACACCCTACCATATCTTTCTCTCGGTCACACAGACGGCCAAGCCTCGTTACTCGTCTCTCTTTCTTTCTCTATTCCCCCCTCCCCCCTCTCTTTCTCTCTCTCTCTCTCTCTCTCTCATACACACACACACACACTATTCTGTCTTTGTCTCTTCTCGCTGTCTTTCTCTTTCTCGCCCTCCCCCCTCTCTCTCTCTCTTTCTCTCTCTCTCTCTCTCTCTCTCTCTCTCTCTCTCTCTCTCTCTCTCTCTCTCTCTCTCTCTCTCTCTCTCACTCTGGATTTGATCCTTACGAAAGACATTTTTTAAGAGTTTGCATTGAATAATTTATTTGTAGATTTGGAAATGTCCCTCTTTTATCGTGTTAAGATCAGGCACATAATTTAAGTTCTGTCAAATTTACTAAGGCCTTTAACAAAGAAATGTTCAATTGTCTAGGACAGTGATTACAGTAACAACTTTCTACATGATACACTCTACTGCACTATCAATAAATGTACCACTACTCCTTCAGGCAAAGTATACACATTTCTTACTAGATATTGCTTCTACTTTTTGTTTCCGACACATGATTTACGCCACCTATGTCTTGTTTCCATCCCTGAATTATACTTTTAATCTTTGAGATTGACATATGCATGATACAGAATGGTTGCCTTTGACATTGATTCTCATAACCAGTAATAACCCAGACAAAGACATTGACACCCATACCTGGTAAGAAAATACTTCCTACACCGATACAGTTAATGAGTAATAAATTGCCAGCGACACTGACATTGGTAACATATTGACATTGACATACATAACCAGAAATAAATTACCAAAGATAAAGTAAAGTGGTCTCCGCATCCAATCCGGACATTGGGGTTTGCCTTGTTAGTGAAACAACTTCCTGGGCCTTCGGCATATTGTGGTAGGGTGGCCAGTTCCTTTCCATACCGCCTTTACTTCCCCAACTCGAGGTCAGGTACCCATTACTGCTGGGTGGGCTGGAGGGGGTGAAAAAAAATCTGCGTCCGAACTGATTCTCGAGCCGGGACTTTTCGCTTCGGGGACGAGTGCATTAACCGCTCTGCCACCACACCCTCACCAAAGATATTGATATATATTTTTATATACAAAACCAGTAATCAGTTTCCACTGAAATTAAAATCAGTAATAAGTTGCCCCCGAAAATGATGTACGAAGCCAGTAATAAATTGTCGTAGAAATTGAACGTAATCAGTAATAAATTGCCTCCAAAATAGATTATATGTAACCAGTAATAAATTGACACTGAAATAGATTATATATACGTAACCAGTAATAAATTGACACAAATAGAATACGTAACTAGTAATAAATTGCCTTAGAAAATGATATACGGAACCTGTAATAAATTGCCACATATATAGATACGTAACCAGTAATAAACCACCACTGAAATAGACATGTACACAACCAGCGATAAATTGCCACTGGAATTGATGTATATATATAAAAGTATGCGACCGGTATTAAATTGCCACATACAAAATCAGTAATATCTTGTCCTGGAAATTATTTACGTAATCAGTAATAAATAGATCTTTACGTAACTAGGAATAAATTGTCACCGAAGTAGATATACGTAACCTGTAAGAAACTGCCTAAGAAATAGATATACGTAACTAGGAATAAATTGTCACCAGTAATAAATTGTAACCGAAATAGATGTAACCATTAATAAAATGTCACCGAAATAGAGAAACGTAACCAGTAATACATTGCCACCAGCATTGATTATGTGGCCAGTAATTAATTGCCACTGATACTGAATATAATAGGTAAGAGGTTTAAAATTGCAACCGCTAACGATGATCACATAATTGGTAATAAATTTCCAATAATGTTCATATACATAAACAAAGATTAAATTGCCATCAGTGTTGACATTCATAACTAGTAATAAAGAGATAAGATAAGATAATATAATACCCGTATTGTCCCAGAGGGAAATTTTTCTTGGATTTACAGGACCGTAGAAGCACATGCAGGTATATATTTTATA